AAATATAAGATAAGTGTTGCTCATGTAAAATGCCCTCTCTGATGGGAAAGAAAAAAAAACCAAGCGAAGCATTAGCCATACGCCTGTGTCAATATATAATTAGAGTGTTTTCGTTAATATTTTCATTGTTTTGCAAAGCCAATATAATAAGAATTAATGTAAGGATTAGATACAGTTTACAGATCATTATATAATGTATATATTTATGTTTTTCAGTTACATCAACTCACTCGTAGATTACATGGCTTTTTCTAATCGGCAAGAAAAACTATCATCGGTAACACATGTTGCAAATGCTAATCAAGCAACATCCCATCAAGTGTGGCGTTATTCAAACATAAATAATGTCAAAGTTGTTTATAACTCAAATGATGCTAAAAATTATTTACTAGCCGTTGCCAAGGGGTGGGGAATCGATGAATCTTCTGATATTGGGAGGAACTTTCTTAATAATATACTGAAAGCGACTCAACAACATCATCCTGTGCCGACACACCCATCAATATTTGAATATCCAATGGAAACAGAACATGAAACACATTACATGCTGATTTTGATATATGCAAAAGAAGATCGAATTGAAATTGGTTATTCATATCACTATATGACAAATCAAGCATCAGCAAAGTGTAACGATCCAATGATATCACAACGATACTCAATTCAATGGCTTAGAGAAAAAGCTAGACAAAGTTTAAAACTTCCTACGGCTATAGTTACTACGATGATGAGTAATGACATACCGGCGGTTCATGATAGTATGCATCATGGTCATCAACAACAGTTGCCACCAGCCTCAATACCCGTCGCCTTGTTTGCAAATGCGCTACATAATGACATTGCAATGGATGATATATCTCAGCCAATTTCATCTAACAATCCTGCTCCCCTTGTAAAACCGAACAATCTCCAGACTAAAATGCCGCGCCGTAACTGAGAAGCATCACAATCAGAGACTAACGTACATTTCTTGCAGATTTCGTATTTTTCCTTTATTCACGATTCCGATAAATTACTATTATAAAATGCTTCAACCATTCATAAATATACGTATAATTTATTGATTTGAACACATCATACTTTCTCTAAAAGCATTTTACTCGATAGATGACAGGTATGACAGAATTCATAACAGATTTGTTTTTTTTTAGATTTAAGATATTTATTTTTTCTCTTTGGCACTCACAATATGGCAAGTGGTGGAAATATAACAATCCGACGTTCGGGCGTCGAATCAGTCGAACGACATCGTAGAGAAGCCGGCTCTGCTTGGGAACATACTCATGTGAACGGATCAAGAACACTCTCAACTGTGAATGATGCTCAAACATATATTGATACATTAGCACCTGCATGGGATTTGACTTCAAGTGTAACGGGTAGAATTTTCATAGCTGATATAAAAGCTCAATGTACAGTTGTGGGTTCTGGTGCAATTGATCATGTTCATGTTGAATTTAATGAAGGAACACAAACAGGAACCGGCAAATATATTTTAGTCGCTATTCATGTAGATAGCTCTAGACGAATAACACTTAGCTATACCTATCATGAGGTAAGTGATAGGTTGAGACCTAATTGGGTATATACAGAATATGCTACTGGTGCTGTGACAGATTGGTTAAAATCAAAAGCAGTAGAAAATCTTCAAGGAATGGTACCATTAAGTCATCGACCATCTATAACCTATGAATAATTTAATGACAATGTTCCTATTCATTTTTACGAGCCCACAATAAAACAATGTGAACCCATATGAAAATGTTTTTTTCATTAAAAGTTTTACTTCCAATTATATTCATACTATCACTTTCGGAAATATAATAAGCGTTGATCGTGATTTTGAAATGATTGTTGAAAACACTCCCGTTAAAAACAAGAGAATAACAGCACACGTTGGCACTGTAGAAATTCCTATGAGAGTGATATCATGACTGTATCCTAAAGGTTGGAGGCAGTGAAAGCTTTTGGAATTGCGTAAAACTCGTATAATAACATTTTATACCTTCCAATCCAATCAAAAAAAAATTTATATGTAGATAGTTCCATCAGTAATAATAGTGATATATA